CCTCCGGGGCCACGCGCGGGTCCTGGACGCACCACGCAGAGCACGCGTGGCATGTTGCCTGCCAGCTGGTGGTGCTCACTGGGACACAGGAGATGGAACTAGACAGGCTCCAGTGATGGTGCTGGCCTGCTCCCAGCCCTAGAGGAGAGGGGCTGGAGGCCCCAGAGATGGCAGCGAGCTGCGAAGCTCCCTGCGCTCATGGTGTGCTCTCCCGCAGACACAGCTCTCGCCGGGACCCCGCAATGCCTACCGCGAGTGCCTGGGCAAGCTGGACCTGCAGTACGCCAAGCTGCTGGTGAGATGCCGCGTGAGGGGATGGGAAGGCCTGCGGGGCTGCAGGACCTGGGGGCAGAGGTTCTGGGATGGAGGTGCAGGACATGGGGGAGACGTTCTGGGATGGAGGTGCGGGACATGGGGGGAGAGGTTCTAGGATGGAGGTGCGGGATGTGAGGGCAGATGTTCTGAGGTGGAGGTGCAGGACGTCGAGGGAGATGTTCTGGGATGGATGTGCAGGACATTGGAGGAGAAGTTCTGAGATGGATGTGCAGGACGTTGAGGGAGACGTTCTGGGATGGAGGTGCGGGATGTGGTGGCAGGTGTTTTGGGGAGCAGGGTGTGGGACGCAGCCCATTCCTGCGCCCCGTCCCCAGAACTCCTCCAAGGCTCGCCTGCGGCACCTGGAGAGCCTGCACGGCTTCGTGAGTGCTGCCACCAAGGAGCTGATGTGGCTCAACGAGAAGGAGGAGGAGGAGGTGAACTTCGACTGGAGCGACCACAACCCCAACATGATGGCCAAGAAGGAGAACTACTCGGTACGGAGAGACCCTGGTGCAGGACTGTGCTTGCACGGCCCCATCCCTGCACACACCTGTCCTTGCATGGACCCGTCCCTCCCCGTCCCTGCACACTGATTTTTGGAGGTGCCTCTTGCACCCCATAGCTGAGGATGCCCTTGGGACCCTCAGCCTCAGTGTCTTGTCTTGTCCTCTCTGCCTTGGGCCAGCCCGCTGCTGTGTTGTGCTCTTTGCCGAACTGGTTGATGGCTCCAGCCCTGCTTTTTATCTCTGATCTGTAGGACTTTGGTCTTCTTCCTTTCTTGCTATCTGATCATTTGAATGAAACCACATTGCGCCCTGCAGCGCTAAGCACGCTGAGCACGTGCCAGTCCTTTAACCCTTCTTCTGCTGTTCCTCCTGCTGCGCTTGCACATGCATTAACATGCACGCATCCTCCAGACTGGGCTTGATGTGTTACAGATCTCTGCACCCCCATCCCACCCACAGGCTTTGCGCACCCTAGCCCCTGTCTCTCAGCCCTCCTAGCCCCTCTTCCCCTGTCTCCATGCACCCCATCTCTGCACCCCACTCCTGTCGTGGCCACTGGCCCTAACACTGACTCTGAGCATCCCCTTCCTCTGAGCAGCCTCTGGCAACTGCAGACCGCCTGGGAGGCAGGAGGGTGCCTCAACCCCCAGCACCCGCAGTGCACTCACACGCACACGCACACGCACACATACACACAGGCTGTGCTGGCCCCACTCACAGCCTGGCCAGGGTACAGGTGCTCACCTCTGCTCCTCGGCTCCATGCCAGGGTCTGATGCGGGAGCTGGAGCTGAGGGAGCGGAAAATCAAAGAGATCCAGAGCACTGGGGACCGGCTGCTGCGGGAGGAGCACCCGGGCAGGCAGACAGTGGAGGTGAGCGGGGCGCGCAGGGCAGCTGTGCTGCTGGCCCGGGGGCAATGGGCAGTGCGGGGCCTTGGGGAGGGGTGCACTGCATGGGGGGCTGTGGGCAGTGCAGAGCCCGCTGGTGTGGGGTGCAGTGCAGGGGGGCTGTGGGCAGTGCAGAGCTCGCTGGTGCAGGGTG